CATAGCATAAGTTTGAAATACAGACAGTATAGAGCCAATATTCATACTTCAACTACAAAAAGGATACACACACAGACAGCATAATCATAACCAGCAAACCATAACCTTGTCTTAGATACCTTATATAAAGGGGGTCAAATAAGATTTGGTGCCACTACAGGACTTTGGTTGCAATAATGATCTAAATGGTCCCAGTTTATGTCAATAACGTCACAATGGCTATTTGTTTTTTCCTGAACAGCACATACCCTTTAATACCTGTACTCTAGTCATGACTACTGTTCCACCATATTTCTGTTATAAGGTTTCATTTCCTGCACCAGTAGTTCTAGTTCTTCCAATTTGTTACTTAGGCTCCTCACATTGGTGTACAGACAACTTAGTTGTTTCGGCTTGGCTTCAACCAGATTCCTTGCTCGATTAGGTACAGTCATTCTACTGCCAATATCACCTACCTGTTAGCATCATTGGACATCAAGAGGAAAGACAGTGCCACGGCCATTCTTTACGTTCTGTCATTCCTTTCTCCATTGCTGTATCCTTTTTTACTTGATTTTCCTCCTGCTCAATATCAGGAGACATGGAAATTACATAAGCATCTCTCAACCACGTCCCTTGAATTCCTAGCTTAAAGTTTTTAGTCAGTTGTGCCAACCTCCATCCCAGAAGTTTATTTCCTTCCCTACGCAGGTGGAATCCATCCCATGAGAACAGTCCTCTGTCCGAGAACGCCTCCCGGTGGTCAAACATTCCAAAGTCCTCCTTATAGCACCACTGCCTGAGCCATCCGTTGATCATCATAATTTTGTCTCGCCTTCATTCTTGTCCTCCAGGCACAGGTAGAATCCCACTGAAGGTCAAGTGACCCTCTTTCTTTAAGAGTCTTCCCCAGCCTTGCGCAGTCTCCCTGGATGTACTCCAGTGAGAATCTGCCCTAAATGTAGGAACAAATGATACAGCTAATCAGTGGATTCTTTTGTGCGCCACATCCTATAGCTGAGCTCCTGGCAGACAGCACACCCTTCTGTTCTCTGGATCAGCTCTGGTGACAGGACTGTCTGTTCTTCTTAGCAGAGAATCCCCAATCATGGAGACCTGTCTCTTTGTTGGTGCGATTCTCCAACCTTCCTCCTGTTTTTTCTAGCTGCAAGTTCTTATCTTCTGTTCTTCCTTGCAATCTTCTGAGAGTCATCCTCTATCCTCCTGGGGCTCCGAACTCTGGCTATTTCCATTGATTTTTCCCCCCTCTTCCTGCAGGGCTAGCCACTCTTGTCTTCTTCCTTGCCCTCCACCTCCTGTAACTGCCTGCAGGGCCCCTTCTTCATTTTCCAAGTCAGCAAACCTGTTCCTGAGCTCCATTTTTCCTTCACTAGCTGTTTTTTAAACTCTGCCTGGTTCTCATAGTCACATGCTTCCAGCGGCCACTTTCCTCTCCCATCAGTCTACCCTCACAGTTCTCCAGTCCAGCTTGCATCTGGGAGTTTTGAGTTTTCCCTTCCACCTCCTCTCACCTTCCCTCTATTATCTGCTCAAATCCCCTTCAAAACTGAACCATAGTTTCTACCTGCATCTCCAAACCTCATATCTTCTGGTCCATCAGGTGGCACTTCATACAAACAAAGCACTTTTTAGTACTCATTCCAGGATAATGTACACGCCTCAGTTTCCACATCCAATCACCTTCATTGTCTCTTTCATTCCTTGGGTCACTACCATGGCTGTTTCTGTAGCGGTCATAGGGCCCACTTCATAACAAATATATTTGGTTTTCACAAGCATCAAACCTAATTTTCAGGGCTTTGGTGATATTGAAGTGTTCTAGATTTGACAGAAAAATCTCAGTTCTGTGTAACACCAATAACTTTTCCTTATTATCAGAGTCTTTCCCATAGCCGAACATTTGACTGCTTCTTTTACACCACTGAAGTATTAACCAGATTCCCTGCCCCCGCCCCCTCCAGAAACAACTCCTGTCGGTCATCCTTGAAAGCAGTACTTTTTGGTGATGGCAGCATCCAGTAACTAAGCAACAAAAGATAATCCCTGAACAAGAATTCAAGGTGGATCGAGGTATAAGCCCTATTGCATAGATTCCGTTGCAATCCAATCCAATTTGCTGCATCATCATTTCTCACTTTGCAGTAATTTACTGAGTCTGCAACCTAAAAAAAAAAAAAATTAAGACTAATTGGAGCACAAACTAAGACCAAGGTTTTCTCGAACACCACAAACAGGTCCTAAAGCTGGCAGACAGACAGACCCCTGAAGGAACACTCAGTGAAAAGGGATCCTTTGTTTATATCAAGGCTCCTAATCCCTGCTCACTGCAATTGGGAAAAAATGGGCATGGTCAGAGCTTCCCTATGCCTTGGTAATCCTTGGCTACACCTTCCCCCTCCAAGATCATGGTGCACCCTGGGAGCCCAGCCTATGGAAGAGAATGGGGAGGTATGGCAACACTGAAAAAGAGCCCACCGCAGCAAGTCTCAGAGTCTGGGTCAACTGACTCAGGCTCACGCTCCAGGTCTAAAAATGGTAGTGTAAGCTTTCCCGCTTCGACTAGAGCTTGGGCTTGGAGACCCACCTCCCTTGGCTGGAGCCAGGGCTCTGATATCTGGCAAGGGAGGTGAGTCTCAGAGCGCAGACTCCAGCCAAGCAAGAATGTCTACACTAGGGAACTTGGTGTACACCAACAGTGTCTATTTTTAGTGCGGGCCCACATCTGTTGACCCAGGCTTTCAGAGTGGCTGCCCTGTTTGTCGTTTTGTTTTCTGTGGGGTCGGGGGGGGGGGGCGGAGTGTACCCTGGGAGTATAAAATGAGGTGCTGCAACAACAGTTACAAACAAATCTTTTTGTATTCAGATTTTCACTGAAAAACTGAAGTTCCCCATGGAAAAGACACCAAACCATTTTGCCACCTTTGCACGACCTGGTCCTAACCTGCACTGGTCATTCCTTAGCTGAAGATCTGAGCCAATATATACATTCTTCTCGTAAGTGATCACTTCAAAGTCCAATACAATTTAACTTGGATTTAGTTAAGCATCTTTTTTTAAATTAGGCACGTGGTTTTAACTGGTCCCTGGGTGGTAGCTTAATATGGGATTCATTACACAGGCTACAGTAACCATTAGATACAGTGTACATTTTGTTTTTAATGCACTTGTTAGTGAATGTACATAAGCCCTGCCTTATGAATGTGGTAAGAGCCACCTAAGGAGCAGAACAAAATGCATAATCCAATGAGTAGATGTAAGGGCTAATATAACTGGAACATACAAATGGGTTATTTATACCTTTAGTAGTATCTCAGGATAGGTTCCCCCCCCC